ATCCACCCCCAGGAACTCATTTTGGTGTGAACGCGATCTGCTTTAGTTCATCAGAACTAAAGAGCTCTCATGAACTAAAGTTCTCATGAACTACTGTGGGAAAAGTACTTGGTGTGAACGCCCCTATTTTCATGTATAAAAGACGTACAAAAGTGCATTTTGCATGATAGGTCCCCTTTAATCTTCAACCATTAAACAGGACAAACCTGCTTTGATGTAAAAAAACAGTATCCAGCCCACAAATGAGAAGACAAACACAAGACTGTCATCTGAGCTGAGAAGGCAAACAATGCCTAACTTCAAACAGAACCACACCAGCTTCGTCTACAACAGGCTATGCTGACATTTTGTGCACTCAATTGTTTGGTACCCGACTCTATGAAAATTAGCCAACACTTTTATGTCACTTATCGGCCTACATATACGTCAATCCTGAGCCAATAAACACAGATTTGTCAGTAGGGCTCTCCTTGTGACACTTGTGGTTGAGCACTTTACAAAAAACACAACTGACAACACACAGGGCCGCTGTGCGTTAGTATAATTGGGAGCAGCGGTAATACCAGTAGTTGTTTGCGGTAGTAGTGGTGGTATTGGTACCTTGTTAAATGGGGCAGTAGTGGGGTCTGTGCATTATACAGACAGGGACAATGTTGCTAGGGGGCTGTGCTTTCTCTTCATGATTAGTCAACTATTGGTTTTAGTTTATTAAAGTATTTTGTCCATTACTAATTTTTGTATGTTATTATGCTGAATGACTTATTTACAAGAGACATATGAGCAAGATTTAAAGTGAAGATTTTGCAAATTTCTTTTGCAGATGAACTCAAGTTTTTCAGATGAGTCAGATTAGAGTTAACCGGCTAAAAATGTCTTTAGTTGAGAAGAGTCCTAGTTTCTGAGGAGAGATTTTGCTGTTGCATTTTAGCAGCTTACACACCAAACTGACACCAAAGAACACGTCCCGACGGAACGTCGCCTCACGTCGCCTCACGTCGCCTCACGTCGCCTCACGTCGCCTCACGTCGCCTCACGCCGCCTCACGCCGCCTCACGTCTCCAGCGTCTTGGCCATGTTTCGCACTGGAACACACCCAAGCCCCCAGGAAGTGCGCCGGACTCTGTGCCCAACATTCGTTGTGTCCAAAAACGGCGGTACTGCAACTTCCATATCAGTCCGTGACGTCACCCGGCCCAAAACAACTTTTTCCCATTGACTAACATGGGGAAAGAGACGTCTTTAAATCGGTGTTTTTTTTTTTTTTAACTAAATAAACTACCCAGTATTAACTATTTTATAGCCCTTATTAGAATCATTCGGTCCTTAAAGTTGTAAAATGCACTAAAAGCCGAATCTAGATTTATTTTCTCTCTCCATTCATTCTAGTGAGCTGGCCGAGAGTGGGAGCTCGGGGGGCAGGGCTTAAGGGGCGCATGCTCTGTGAGCGCACATACGGGTTCTTCTGCTCTGGCAGCCAGGCATGACGGGTAATCTGTGACGTTTCGCTCTCTCAAAAGTTGGGCCATTTTGACTTCATGCGCCAATGAGCAGCTCTCATAGGAAAGAACGAGACCCCGCCTCCCACGCTGTATAAAGTTCTTATTATACATCCATGAACACACCGCAAAGACTTCAGCCGACGGCCAAGTTGCACGTACGAACTGCGCATGCGTGAGTGGCAATAACTCTCCTTACCGGCAGGCGGCGGTAGTGTGTATTCGTCATTCAAAAGAGGCAACAACCGGAAGACAGACTGCGTGATAACCGAGAGAAGAAGAACAGACTGCGTGATATAAACAAACAACAAATAGCGTGTGCGTTCCATTTTCACTCTACAGCGAGAAGCTCATGGGGCTTTCCCGAACCTGTGTCGAGAGCTGGAGTTAAATGAAATCTCAGATTTGCCTTCTTAATCTCAGCCAATAGCCGCGTTCACACCAAGTACTTTGCAGTACTTAGTGCCGGCACTTAGTGCCCCGGCACTTATTACCCCAGGGCACTTAGTACAGATCGCATTCACACCGGAATAAGTTCCCTGAGGGAAGATTACGCAAATGAGCCGCTGACGTCACTTCGTCTTCTTCTGCTTTGGGTTTACTGGCAGGCCGCAAACCACTTCACGGCGTATACTGCCACCCGAAGTCCCCGGCCGGAAGTCCCCGGAGTTGGGGACTGGCTTCAGTAGAAGCTGCTGGGAGTCCCAGCAGCTTCTACTGAAGCCTTCCGAGTAAATCGCCAGAACGCCGACACCTCCTCATCTCCACCGCTCCCATGTTTTATTTTGTGTTGCCATAAGTTAGTCTCTCTGTGTTTGTGCGCTGGGCGAATGCTAATGCTAATAATGCTAATGCGAGGATAATAAAATGGCGGCTCAACAAAACATTTCAGAGTTTTACGGGGCGTGGTTTGCAATTCGCCCAGCCAATCAGAACTGGGGCACTTTTTTCCCCCAGGAAAGTACCATCTCTCAGCAGGCACTAAAAATGGGGGTAAAAGTTCCCGGCTTGAAGTACTCTTTTTGGTGTGAACGTGACATAAGGGGTACTAACGGAACTAAACGCGAAAAGTACGGGGAAAAGTACTCCGGTGTGAACGCGGCTATTGACAGCTCTGCATGCATCCCCTGGATATTATTTTATTAACTGCTTTCATCGCGACGCAATGTTTCCAGTGCGAACAGCTGTGAGGTCCGTGCAGAAAGCAGAGCAGTGTGTATATATCACTCAGTATAACAGGCCTACATTACTCTCTTTATTTGTATGCTTTAGTTTAGTAGGGGATATATCCAGTCTCTGATTGTGTTACGTTATGCGAGTGCTCTCATATTTGTTTGATTCTAAAATTGTATATATTTATATAAATATATGTGTGTGTATATGTCCGCATATGTAGCCTGTTATTGTCTCATTATACCGCACTGTGAATGAATTAAAAGTAAATATATAAGTGGTCATGAACACATCTGTCCATCAGACAGAGGGCTGCTGTGCCTCCTGTCATCATTAATGGACGTCTCTTTAAAATGACCGCTCAGAGAGGATTTCTCATTTCTCTAAACGCCTGCTGCTTCCACTCCCCTCTCCTCGGTTCCCCTCCTCGACTCCTCCGCTCGCATCTCCTGTGGGCGGGACTAAAACACGAGGATAGGAGTCGAGGAGGGGAGTCGAGGAGGGGAAATTAGAGAATTGAGAAGCCTTCCATGATGTGGCCTGCCGACATGGCCACTGTCATACAGATCATAAATCAAAGCCCTCGATTGGTCTCTGTGTGTCATTCAAGCTCGGGATAACTACAGCTCAGGTGAGGTTAAGGACTCTCTGAGTGTTTAGATAGTTAACTTAGTCTAAGTTCTCAGTGGGTCTCAAACACATATTTCCATTTGAGGGGGTAGTGATTAGTAAAATATGCATGAATAAAAAAAAGAAATGTTAACTAGGTGAAAAAAGGTAAGATACACTTTTAAAACTTGTTGAGAGCTAAAACTAGTCTTTGCTGCTGCCTCAAAGAGGAGCAGGGGGAGAAGAGCAAGGGGGGAGAGGAGGGAGAGCTACACTATATGAGCTACCACTAAACGACTCACAGTCTGAAAATTACCATTAAAAAAACCCTGGACGTTTACTTTTCGTTTTAAGCATCGTTTTAAGGTGTAAACCTTTCATTTTCAAATGCGCGTTCCCGTGACAAGGGGTGCATTTCATGCCGGGGGTGCATAATTTGGCACAACACCGGCCTGACTTATTTTCTCGTCCGGTCCGGCCCTGGCTGTACCTGTTCGCTCTGCCATCGCGTGAAGGGTCTGCTCACAAGCGACCAACAGAAAGGTTAATGTTAATGTTGTTGTTGCACGTCACCTCACCTCACCTTACAGCACCCCCCCAACCCAAGTATATTTCAGATCTGTGGGAAACACTGCATCTCACTGTGCAAATGAGAGCAAAACAACTGCTTGGCCAACCCTTTGGCTTGGCATGAAGGTGAGAACATGTTTATTTATTCTTTGTTTTATTTGTTTTTCACGTAAAATGGCTCTTTAAACATCCCTCCAGTTACAGGATTGTTCTGACTTGAACTACACAATAATAGGATAGTCTTATTAAAATGCAGTGGTGTAATGTAACTAAGTACATTTACTCAAGTACTGTACTTAATTGTGATAGGCTTGTACTTTACTTGAGTGTTTCAATGTTTTGCTCCTTTGTACATGTAACCCACTACAATTATTTAGTACCTTTAGTTACTTTACAGATTTGGATTAATGATGTGAAATATAATCAACACTTAAATAAGACTTTAGTTACAACTGGAGTAAATTCACATGCTACCCAGTATTCAAAGTCATTCAAACTAGCTGCACCTTTACCAGCTTTGATAACACTTTAATGATCAATAATTATAAAACATATCATATATTGTTCTGAAATGGGCCAATCTGCAGAATGACTACTTACTTTTGGTACTTTAAGTATATTGTGATGCTAATACTTTTCTGCTTTTACTTGAGTAACATTTTGATTACATGACTTTTACTTGTAACAGAGTATCCCTACACTCTGGTACTTCTATTTTTACTCAAGTACACGATCTGAGTACTTCTCCCACCTCTGCTAGAAGGGGGTTATGTTGGCTTGCCATAGTGGGAAAAGCACCGTTACAGTCCTAGCTTTTTAACATTGATCCAGCATGCACCCAGACGCCAGACGTCATTATTAATGTGATTAAATACACTTGTGCTTTTCCTACTGTGAAGTTCAAGTAGTAGCTGTTAGTGTTAGAAGCTACATTGCTATTGGAGTTTGTTTCACTGAGCAAAAGTAGCCTACGATAAATGAATAAGCCCTTGAACCGGATTATTCTGTAAATGGTTGTTACCTTATAACCCGTCGGTCAACATTTATCAGCTCATAGCCTTTATTGGCTCAATGTTACCTTTTAGCTTAGCAAACACAGCTGTTTAGCTGCAGTCTGCCCTCGGGATAGAGGGACAGCATTCAAACACTTACCACGCCTATCCATCCTCTGGTCACGATGGCAGCTTCCACATGACCTCCTCTCTCACTACCCCCGGCGGAACGACGGACTGTCTTATGACCGAGCAGAAAAGCTGCTTCTTTCAAAACATTTTCGCTATCTCAGCTACAGACTGATGCCTTCTACGGGAAGTCGCGTAGTCCAAAATAGTCACAATCGTGTCTGTCTGCGGTCAATGGAGCCCCTACTTGTTTTGCGGTACATATATTGTATCAGATGTATTATCCTACTTTCGAACCGTAGTGATTTCTAAATCCCCATATATGTCTTTATAACTAAATATACCCCGTTATAAAATGTAAAAATCCGTGAGATGATGAGTGGTGTTGCCAATTATAGCCTACACATTTCCATTAGAACTGTGAATATTAACGGAAAACCAATTATTGCTTTTTCTAAGGCAGCCTTTATAAAGGCTTTCGGCTGGTGTTTATTTTTCCCTTTTCATCCATTTGTCTTTTACCTGCTTTGACAAGCTAACATTTATTCTGCTTCAATATTGCATTGTATCAAGCAGAGCCGGCCCGACCCATTAAGCGACATAAGCGGCCGGTTAGGGCCCCGCAGCGCAGCCCCTAGCAAAAATTGAAAAAAAAAAAAAAAAAATGAATGAATGAATTTTTTTTTTTTTATCTCAGTACACCGTCGCCGTGATAAGTATGTTTAATTAATTTTGTTAATATGCCTAGATTGCCTACTCTCAAAGTCATGTATTATATTATTGAGTCAATCATATAATACATTAACCGTGCTTTACCTGAACCTCATCATGACACTAGAGAGGACGGCAGGATTGTAATTTCCCGTGTTCAGTGAATGCAACAGAGGCAAGGCACCAGACCAACCAGAGAGTTGAATGGAAATAAACATCTGTCTTATTGGCTGACAGGTACCTATCCTGTGAGCTGTGACAATGTTTAAAATAAACTGTCAGTCTCAGACTCAGAGTTTTTGAAGATGGACATAAGAAGTTGAACATTTGTTCTTAAAAAAGATGACAATTCTCAAGTGGTGGTTCACACAACAACCCCAGAGCCAGCACTTGAGCCAGGAGAAATTACAGCTAATGATCTTTAATAAACACATAATTAATTATTTACAGTACATTTTTCATGCTTAGAATAAATACAACAGAGCTTAGTATTTCCACTTTGCAGACAAATAGCAGAAATGTGGTCCAACATGTTGCAACCTTCCAAAATATTTGGCTGAACTGTCCTTTGCAGAACCCTTTTCACACAAATTCCTGTCTTGGTCTGCCTTATCACCTTACATTTACACATATCCACAAACTCATGTTTTACACACTCATGAAAGTGATACAAATGTGCTAATGTAGGCAAAATATAACGGGGTGGGTCCTTATCATCGTCTTAGCTTAGTTTAATGTTTTGTCAGTGATTCTCAGGCCCGCTGGATGTTGATTTGTTCATAAAGCTACTGCTTTCTTCTCTTTGTAGGTCGCCATCATTTTCTTAATCTCTGCAATGGCCTTTCCTGGGTTGAGACCCTGCAACAGTGAGTAAAACAGACAGTGAGAGACTAAAAGTCTATTAACCTTGCGAGAGAGTGTGTGTGTAAGAGCGTTTTTTTTTTAGTACCTTTGGACACGTCTTAGTGCAGTTCATGATAGTATGGCAGCGGTAGAGAGAGAAAGGGTCCTGAAGTTTAGACAGACGCTCCTCAGTGAATTCATCACGGGAGTCAATCATCCACCGGTATGCCTGTTGGATAATAACACACATTTTCATCTGTTTGCTCCATCATGAAACATTTTTGCACTGATTTTTTAAATATAAAACATAGACTACATAATAAGTGCATGATTTCAGAAGGCAATGCTCAATGTTAAAGAACCCCTATTCTTCTTTTTTGCTTTTTGGGGGATTTCCCCTTTCCTGTAGTGTGTAATAGTCTTTGTGCATGTTAATAGTGTCTAAAGGCTCAAATCCCAAAGTTCCCTAGGTGATTAAAATAAAAATTCTTTGTGGATGTATAGTCATTCGCTTTTTTATCTGTCAAACCTCTAAAACCTGTCAATGTTAAAATAAAAAATAAACTGTCCATACTACATATCTATCACAAAAATCTTGACAAGGGTGTTGGACAAGGAGTCGCATGATAGGATTCCTTTTAAACTCATGACCACTTGCCACGTGCTTTTGCTCTGGCACCCCCCTCAGGTTTAGCTTCACATTTTCTGCCTCCCTAGTGGAAATGATCTAGCAACATTTTCACTCTCTGGTTAGTAATGAGCATAACAGGCTCACAAGGTCCCTAGTGTGGACTTAAATTCCTGTTATATTTATTATTTGAAATAACAACAAGCATCTCATAAGCAAATATGATGACCCACCTGCATTAGGACAGCAGGTCCCAGGTATTTGTCTCCGTTCCACCAGTAGCTGGGACAGCTGGTGCTGCAGCAGGCGCAGAGGATGCACTCATACAGGCCGTCCTGTTGGGGTATGAAGAAAGTTATCACGCAGGCAAACTACAATCACTAAAAGTGTGATAATGCTATTTTCACGAGTAATGTATCGAACATTGGACAGGTGAATCTTACAGTAAGAATGGTTTATTTACCAGTTTTTGCCTGTCCTCCACTGACTGGAAATACTGCTCCTTCCCTTCTTGTGCTTCATCTTTCTTCTTCAGGTAGGGCTCGATGGATTTGTACTGTGCGTAGAAGTTGCTCATATCCTGGTGGAAATCACAAGAGGGAGAACTTACTCAAACAGCCAATGAATTATATATATGATTTTATTATTCCTTTATTTCAATTCTTGCTACTTTCACAGCACTTTCAAATATAGCCATGGTTATAATGTTCTTATCTTGCAGTACTTACAGGCACCAGATCTTTGACCACATACATGTGTGGCAGCGGGTAGATTTTGGTCGGTTTGCTGGTGTTGGTGTCAATTTTGTTAAGGCATGCCAGAGTGTTGCCTCCATTTATGTTCATGGCACATGAACCGCAGATACCTGAAGGGATACACAATCACCAAGACTCAATCACTGAACTAAATCCAAGTCCCCTAAAAGAATACACTGTGAGCTTTTTTGATTAATGAATTGATAGGACGCTTACAAAGTAGCACAACCTCAACATAAACTGAAGAAATATATGCTCTGGACTGGAAAAGGGATTATATAAAACAAATTAATACACATACGTTTCAGCTTTTTTTCAGTTGTCAACCTTTTAAATGTTACCGTGTCATTGTAGAAATGCTCCTTTTTCTTCTCTTTTTGGGGGTTATATTGTCATTGTGGCGGCTCAATCCCCAGTTGCGTTTGAGTCGCAGAGAGGCTAAACTTGGCTATAAACTTTGACGCGTTTTCGAAGAGAAAGTCCATATTGAAGCCATATAGTTTTAAGGATATTTAATAAACACAATCATAGCATAGTAACTATGGACAAAACGGTCAACAAAAAAAATGACAGCACAAGCTCACCCTCTGTCATCCGCACTCAACATGAAACAGGTGACTTAAATAGACAAACCACACCCATGTGACAATTACCGGAAGTGCTCAACAAACAAATAAAAGTGACATAAACAAATAATAATAATACAAATAATGAACTTGGGCTAAGTAGCATTATGGCACCTACAGTCATATCATCATATGTGTTTGTTATGTGTATTATTTTTGCCTGTAATAACATTTTGAAAAAACTCTTGAAACCGACAAGGCACAAAGTTAAATTAAATCTGATATATTTGGTTGTATTTTAATAAATTATGTTAGCTTAGTTTTCTTTTTTTGCTGTTTGTTGTTTTTGTCCTTTAATTGAGTGGAGTTTTTGTTTTAAAGCTTGTGGCTTCTTGACCGATCTAATTCAGTCTTATTTGTGTACACATAAATATTAACAGTATAATTATAAAGGTATATCTAATTTGTTTTTTGTTTTAATCTTTGGAAATTGTTTACATTATTATGTGCAAGCTCTTTTTCAATTTGTGACTTACCTTCACGGCAGGAGCGTCTGAATGTGAGTGTGGGGTCCATCTCATTCTTGATCTTAATGAGGGCATCCAGAACCATTGGACCACAGCTAGAACAGAAGAAGCAGGTCAATGGAATTGATCACATAAAGATTAAACGACTTGACAATTATCATGGAATTACAACTCACCTGTTGAGATCTATGTCATATGTCTGCATTCGTGGTTTGTTTCCAGCGGAGTCTGGGTCCCAGCGGTAAATCTGGAACTTCTTGATCCTGGGTTCGGGGGCCGGGGCCGCGGCCGTCTGAGCGTGCCGTACCATCTGTAAAATAAGCAAAGAGAGGCTGTATGAATCAAAGAGATATTTCAAATGGAAAATACTACATGATTTCTAGTACTTAAAATAAAATAAATAGCTATGCAAGCAAGTGTTATGTACAAAGGCCCACGTCATAATGTGACCTAGCTGCTGTTTACATGAACTAAAGGCTAAAATAAGACCTGGTAATTCTATCCTGTAATACATGTTACCGAAACTCATACAAACAACTACAAAACGTACACTTTATTTGCATTATACAATCCTAAACATTACCAATGAGTGCTTTTAAGTAGGAAACTAACATAATAAAGCAAAAGTAACATATAACAAAAACCACCACAAAAATATAAAAAATAGTTCTAATGAAAGCCTTTAAAACCACATCATGAATTATACATTTATTATAGATCTTGTAAAATGTTAAAACTACAATTACAATCTTTAAGACACCCTTTCAAATAAACCAAAATAGAGTATTTCCTGTTTTAGCTAGTTATTCTGTTTACACAATGTGCATTACAAAGGGAAGAGTCTCCCCCTAGTGGTAGTATGGCTGAACTTCTATGACAGTGTTACATCACTTCGCAGTCTTTGGTTACCTAACTGACTTTTTAAGGACAATGAAAGATGGACTTCAGCCCAATAACTTAAATATTTCTTTAAAAAAGATGAGTAGTAAAGAAATCTTTGTGTTTCCTAGATTTGATATATAATCCTCCTGAAAGATGGAAATGTGAGGGAGGGGTTGTACAAAGGCTCAGCTCACTAACGATGAACAGGTTAACTAATCATTTAATATAATGATAATGAAACGTGGACTGCTTAATGTAAATAC